CGGCAGGCTCGCGGCGCGGCACGGGCACGGGGTCTGGGCAGGCGCGGCGCGGCACAGGCGCGGGGCCTGGACAGGCTGGTACTACTTCACGTTTTGGAGTCGTTCGGGCTCATCCGGTATCGGAATTCAATTCCGCTTTTTCCTGTGCGTTGCCAACGAATCGCTCTATCAAATGATGTTCACCTAGCCCACTTATCATGGAAAATAGATTCTCCCGAAGCTTTCGACCTGCACACCGCAAACAAAGAAAAACCGAAAAAACAAACGGAAAGCACAAGAAAAACCAAAATAAAGCAAAACACACAATAAACTATAAAACAACCTAAAAATCAAGGAATAGACCTAATATGGGGGAAAAAGAAAGGAAAAAACAACACGAAAAATGCAACAAAAATGGGACAAACACCGGGGTCGTCGCGCATCGGGCGTTGCTGGTCGTTGGCCTCGGGAGCTGAAGGAAGCAGGCGTGTGCATTAAGCGGTTGTGTGCATCTGCAATGTCGTGGGCGGCATTTGGTGCGCAGGAGATCGCGGACTGCTAGCGTGCGCGGCGTGTGTCCAAGGATGTCGGGCCGTGTGTAGCAAGTCGACTGGATGCTCACAGGTCGTGGCATGCGATCTTCTTGGGCGAGGGTGGCGCGCGAACTGGGACGACGTGTATGGGAAGAGCCGGTGAATTACTCGAGCACCTGAGAGCTCGAGGTTGCGGGAGATGGCTCATGCGGCAAGCGGTTGGGCAAGACTGGAAGCAGGTCGCAAGCGATGGCGTGCGGCGGCGAGGGCTGGTTCACGACGAGAGTTTTTCGACGATCAGAGGGTTCGTCGGTTAATTCCAATGATAACTAATTCGTCGGGAGCTCGAAATTTATTCAACCCTACGATCTTCTAATGTATGACCTTATACTCCTACTTCGAATAATCTTGGTGGTGCGATTAATGAAACTCCCATGTAAGCTGGTCAATTCTCCCTTTTAGTCGGGAAAAAGTTATCTAGTTAGACCTTCCCGATAAAGATTACTAAGACATCGAAAGAAATCGATGAATTAGTGCCAACTATGACGTTATAATTGGAGATATCATTGTTTCTGGTACAGAAGTTCCTATAAATGGAAATGCCCTATGGTTAAAGCGCCCCAACTCAACATTGACGAATTCGTAGGTTCAATTCCTATTGGATGCAAGCAAAGCCGCAAGAGCTCACTCCCAGATCTGAGCTACCAGCCTATGAGAAAGCCTTGAAAGCAGTACCACATCGAGTTCGGAAAGAGCAGTCAGCATCCGACGGGGGAGGAACGAAGTCACTCGACTGATAGCGCTTTACGTTTGACTGGGATGATATTTCTATCAAACAACTCATTTTCCAACCAAATTGATACAAAAGTTCAAACGAATGCATTTATAGGAAGAGGAATTAATAAATACAAATTAATTTTTAGACGAACTTATTTTTTACCTTCAATTTTTTTACGTGAAAAAATCAACATGTATTCTGTTCGATGGACTATATAATTTGCGAATAAATTAGTGAAAAATTACTGAATCGCCAAATACCGCACCCTTTTTACTACGTACGCCCCGAAAAGACAACATTGCCCTTTACTCTATTTTCTAAAAAAAAAAAATTGTCCCACCTTCCGACCTATTTACCGGCCTGATTGAGCTCCGAAAAATTCCGAAAAGACCTGCGAATAATTTCGGCGAAAAAATTCCATCCAACAAGACCGGTCATGCGAAGGTTGGCCGGTCAAAACGGCCCGACTGGAGCCGGCCGACCGGGGATTGCGGCCAGTCTTGGACCGGCCGGCCGATACTTATTGGCCAGGCCAATGTTGGCTGCGTTAGGCAGCCGGCCAGGCCTCACTTGGCCGAAAAGACCGGTCGGCCTAACCCTAACCGGCTGCGATCGCCGATCGCCGGCCGATTTTTTTTTCTTTTGCTTTTTTTAATTAAAAAAACTTTAAATATTATAAAATATATTTTAAAAAATTCTATATATTAATAAATTAAAAAAATAAATAATTAAAATATATATATTAATTATTTATATTTTTATAATAGTATAAGATATAATTAATTATAATAAAAAAATTATTTTATTATAAATTATATTAGAATTGATTATCTTATAAAAAAAATTATTGATATTATGTTAGAAGTTAGAAATTATTGTGTTATAGATTAGTATTGATTATCTTATGAAGTATAATTTATTGATATTATGTTAGAAGTTGAAAATTATTTTGTTACAGATTTGAATAGATTATCTTAGTCAACGGCAAGACATTTTCTTTAGTACTAACATGAGCTTGAATGTTTTTCCTACTATAATATTCACATGAATCATATAACTCTGAGAAAAGTGTCAAAAGAACTTGTCATAAAATTGGGTCTAATCATACTCAATTAATCGGTCTCAATGAATTTCTCTAACAGAATCCGATTTTTTTCGTTCAAATTTGTTATTTAAATTGGTATTTATGAATTTCAAATTTAAGTCATAATATTATTTTGTATTTAAAATTTATTACCGAGTTGAAAACGAGCAGATTTAAGAAAACAAGGGGCTGCAATTTTAATAACATCACTCATTAGTATTTTGTTAGAGATAATTAATATTATGCTATATAACATAATAATTTCTAAGTTTTAACATAATAATAATAAAATTCTATAAGATAATTAATTATACTTTATAATATAATAATTTCTAAATTCTAACTATAAGATAATAAATTTTAATTTATAATATAATATCTAAATTCTAATATAATTTATATAATAATTAAAAATTTGATTATAAAAAAAATCAAGATGGACTCGTGTGGCCTAATTATATTACAATACTAATTATAATATCACTAATACCTATATATATATATATATATATAATATTAATTATATCCAAGGTTCTGAAAACTGGACCGGTCATCGAACCGGTCTAGCTACTGGTTCACTGGTTCGACCAGTGGTTGAATCGGTTGGACCGGTATTTAATTTTTTATACTTTTAAACACACACACACACACATATATGTATATATATATATATATATCTATAATATTTAAATATTTTTTTTATTTCACTAACGAAAAGAAAAAAAAAATGAAAGTGGGATGATAAGTGAATTTTCTTTTAATAATATGTTAGAAGTTATTGTGTTATAGATTAGTATTGATTATCTTACGAAGTATAATTTATTGATACTAGTTTTAAAATTAGTATAAATTATATTATTATAAATTAGAAATGATACTAGTTTGAAAAAAATTATATTAGTATAAATTATTATGTTATATATTAGAATTGATTATCTTATAAATTAGAATTTATTACTATTATATTAGAAGATAGAAATTATTATGGTATAGAATTAGAATTGATTGTTTTATAAATTTGAATTTATTACGATTTTGTTAGAAGTTAGAAATTATTGTATTATATACTAGAATTGATTATCTTATAAATTAGAAATTATTATTATTATTATGTTAGAAGTTAGAAATTATTATGATATAGAATTAGAATTGATTGTCGTATGAAGTAATATTTAGTACTACTATGTTAAAAGTTAGAAAGTATTATGGTGTTATACATTATAATTATTATCTTATAAATTAGAATTTATTACTACTATTTCAGAAGAAGCTATCGAACGGGCAAAAAAAATTGCAATTATATGTGGTTTCGAATTGATTAGAATTTATTACTACTACTATCAGAAGAAACGTTGAAATTAAATTTTGCCATGGCACTAACATCATGATCCCAAGCGTGGTAAAATTGATTCGATTAAATACAAGTCCATTAGAGAATGAAAGTCAATGGCAAGGCATTTTCATTAATACTTCAATTAAAAATGAGCTTGAATGCTTTTCCTACTATAATATTCACACGAATCATATAACTCTGAGAAAAGTGTCAAACAATCTTGTCATAAAATTCGGTCTAATCATACTGAATTAATCGGTCTCAATGAATTGCTCGAACAGAATACGACTTTTTTCGTTCAATTTGTTATTTAAATTGGTATTTATGAATTTCAAATTTAAGTAAGAATATTATTTTGTATTTTAAAAATTATTACCGAATTGAAAAGGAGCGAATTTAAGAAAAAAAGGAGATTACACTTTTTAATAACATCACTCATTAGTATTTTGTTAGAGATAATTAGTATTATGTTATAGAGAAAAGTGCATTTTTCGTCCTGTAAGTTTACCCCTCTGAACAATTTTGTCCTCTTCGAATAGCGAATTTGAGTTTCGTCCTCTAACTTTAAAAAAAGGTTGCAGATTCGTCCCCGACTCGCCGGAAACCCGTTAATTGGCCAGAAACACGCACGTGACACGCACGTGATGGAAATTAACGTCTCTTTAAGCCTACGTGGAGCTGGATTTCCCACGCTGGCTACCTTATTTACACGTGGAGGACAGAAAATAAACGAAAAAAAAATAATTTCCACGTGCCGAAACACTTGGGAAAGAACCGAGCATAAAATGAAACGGGTTTTTTGATTTTGAATCATTTTCATCCTCCTTCAACCCTATTTTTCCAAATCACAAGATCCCCAAATCTTCAAGAACCCTAATTTTGAAAATTGTTGATTTTGTTCTTCAAAATTGTCGATTTCGTTCAAGAACCCTAATTTTCCTTCACCTTCGAAATTTTCCTTCACCTAATTTCATTACAATGTACGGAATTTAGATCCTAATTTCATTTTAATTGTACGAACTTTAAAAAATGAACTATTTTCACCTCGAATTTAGGGATCTTCATAAAAAAATGAACATTCCGTTGCACGAATTTTCCATAAACAAACAAAAAAAAAATCACTGAACATATGTGGGAGGTCCATTGTGCATACGAATCTTCTTCCGGATGAACACCTTCTCAGGAATCATTTGAATTCTTGCTTCTCAATACTTGATTTTGAGATTTCGGTTTTTTTGGCTTTAGGACTTGGGAACGATTGAGGGTTTTTTTTTCCAGAGAGAATTTGGATTTGGGAACGCGATGAGACTGTCGGAAGAAGCGGGATGTCTGTTCAGTTTTCGTGCCTTTTCATTGGTTTTCCCTCCTAATCTACGTGTTTCGGTGCGTGGATTTTTTTTTTTTTTCGTTTATTTTCCGTCCTCCACGTGTAAATAAGGTCGCCAGTGTGGGAAATCTGGCTCCACGTAGGCTTAAAGAGCCGTTAATTTCCATCACGTGCGTGTTTCCGGCCAATTAACGGGTTTCCGGCGAGTCGGGGACGAATCTGCAACCTTTTTTTAAAGTTAGAGGACGAAACTCAAATTGGTTATTCGAAGAGGACTAAATTGTTCAGAGGGGTAAACTTACGGGACGAAAAATGCAATTTTCTCTATGTTATATAACATAATAATTTATAAGTTCTAACATAATAATAATAAAATTCTATAAGATAATTAATTATAATTTATAATTTAACAATTTCTAAATTCTAACTGTAAGATAATAAATTTTAATTTATAACATAATATCTAAATTCTAATATAATGTATATAATAAATAAAAATTTGAATAT